CACATATCCTGGTTTCCAGACTGAGGTCATAACATCCTTAAAATACACTGGTTGGTTCAATTCAGAAGTCTTCTCTGTAGTCCAGTGTCTTTCTGCTGCAGTTTGTCCTTTTTCATCAGCATTAAGAAAATTCAATGTTAGTAAAGCATTGTGTAACCTGTGTTTAGGGGTCTTTGTTCTCCCGGCTGCTTATGAAGCATTTCTTTTAAGGTTCGGTTAGATCTTTCAATCACTGCTTGTCCTGTGGGATTGTAAGGTATACCAGTTACATGTTTTATATTATAATATTTGAAGAATTGTTCCAATTTACTGGAGACATATGCTGGAGCATTGTCAGTTTTTATCGTTTTAGGTATAACCATAACAGCCATCACCTCTAAGAGGTGTGTAATAACAGTCAGCCTTTTCAGAGCTGAGGGCAGTAGCCCATTGGAATCCTGAGAACGTGTCTATGGTATGGTGTACATATTTTAAACTGCCAAATTCTGGGAAGTGAAATACATCCATTTGCCAAAGTTCATTTCTATGAATACCTTTAGGATTACAACCTGCTGGTAATGGAGTTTGATTGTAGAAGGAGCAACTGGGGCAATTTTTTACTATTTCTTTGGCTTGTTGCCAGGTGATAGAAAAATCCTTCTTTAAACCTTTGCTGTTGACATGGTGTTTCTTATGAAATTCTGAAGCTTCCAACACATTACCTACTAACAAACGATCAATTTCATCATTGCCTTGTGCCAGAGGACCTGGCAAACCTGTATGGGACCTGATGTGTGTTATATATATAGGATGAGTCCTGTTTCTGATGGTTTCCTGTAATTGTAAAAATAATGAGGTTAATTCTGTACTATCAGGAACAAATTCTGCAGTCTCAATATGCAAGACAACTCTTTCCGCATACTGAGAATCCGTGACTATATTTAGAGGCTCTGTAAAGTCTTTAAGTACCATGAGAATGGCATATAACTCTGCCTTTTGTACGGAGTTGTAAGGGCTTTGAACTACTTTACTTATATTTCCTGATTTATACCCTGCCTTACCTGATTTGTTTGCATCCGTGTAGAAGGTAAGAACTCCAGAAATAGGTGTTTGTCTCACGATATGTGGAAGAATCCAAATTGTTTTCTTTATGAATTTTATTCTCTCTGTTTTGGGATAGTTATTACTAATAGTTCCCAAAAAGTCACTGCAAGCTATTTGCCAATACTCATTATCTTTCCATAAGGAGGAAATTTCATCATTTGTTAAAGGTACAATAATTTCAGCTGGATCTTTCCCAGTCAATTGATGAAGCCTTAACTTACCTTTTAATATCAAATCAGAGATCTTTTCTATATATGTTTTCAATTTTTTATTCTGTTTATGTGGCATAAATACCCATTCTAGTATGATGTCTTCCCTCTGCATTAATATTCCTGAGGGGTATTCTCTAGATGGTAAAATAACTAGAATACAATCCAGGTTTGGATCCACACGGTCCACATGTGCTTCTAATATTCTCTTTTCTAACCATTCTAATTCTTTTTCAGCCTCAGCTGATAGTACTCGTGGGCTGTTTAGATCTTTATCTCCTTTTAAAGCCATTTTCAAATGTTTCAAATCATGCCCTTCTACACCGATAATTGTCTGTAATTGAGAGATTTCACCTAATAGTTTTTGAAGATCATTAAGAGTCCGGTAACGATCTCTTCTAATCTGTACTTTCTGTGGTCTAATTTTCTGAGCATCTATTTTATAACCTAAATAGTTAATAGAATCTCCTCTTTGTATTTTTTCTGGGGAAATTTGTAATCCCCAGCGAGGCAAAGTTTCTTTTACTGCTTCAAACATCTTTTCCAATGTATCCTTATTTGAATCAGACAATAATATGTCATCCATATAATGATATATTAATGAATGTGGAAATTTTTTACGAATTATTTCTAGAGGTTTATTCACAAAATATTGACACAAAGTTGGACTGTTTAACATACCTTGAGGTAGTACCTTCCACTGGAATCTCTGTACCGGACGGGAATTATTATAGGTAGGTACCGTGAAGGCGAACTTTTCTCTGTCGTTTTCTTGTAACGGTATGGTGAAGAAACAATCTTTTAAGTCTATAACTATAATTGGCCAATCCTTAGGAATTAGAGAAGGTAACAGCATCCCAGGTTGTAGAGACCCCATAGGCTGAATTACCTTGTTGATGGCTCTAAGATCAGTAACCATTCTCCACTTACCAGACTTCTTCTTGACAACAAAAACAGGTGAATTCCATGCACTAGTTGATTCCTCAATATGTCCAGCATCTAGCTGTTCCTGAACTAACTTCTCCAAAGCCTCTAACTTCTCAGATGTCATAGGCCATTGACCCACCCAGACGGGTTCATCTGTCAGCCATTTTAAGGGTAGAGCTTTTGGTTGCTCTGTTGGTTTGGCACTAGCATCTTGCATCTGTACAGCCTGTACATTTGGCATCTGTTTTCTGTACTGCCTTACTTTATTATTTGTACCACTAGAAGCTTGTCTATGATTCCTATCTGATATAGGAGGAATGTTAATCTGTGTATTCCATTGCTGGAGTAGATCATGACCCCAGAGGTTTATAGCAATATCTGCAACGTATGGCTTTAACCTTCCTCTCTGTCCTTCTGGCCCAATAAAGTCAATCCATCTAACGCTCTGTTTAACTTCAGATAGGGTTCCAATCCCTAAGAATTGAACATTAGCCTCTTTTAAAGCCCAGTCGTGTGGCCAGGACTGCTGATTAAGGATAGTGACATCATTGCCTGTGTCCAGTAGACCGTAAATTACCCTATTATTTACCTTAACTGCCAGCTTGGGTCTATGATATTGTATAGAAGTTTGCCAAAATATATGTTTTGTATCTCCTCCTGATGTAATTGATTCATCCTCTGGAGTTAATGTATTGTCCAGTGCCGTATAATTTACAATGGGCAGTGGATCTTCTAATTGTCCTGGGAGAGGCTGTCCTCCACTGTCACTGGGAATGACTGGATAATCTCTCTTTTTTGGGGCTCGGTTGAGCCCCTGAGATCTGTTTTTTGGCTTTAAAGATCTACCTTGTCTATCTGTTGTGGATCTGCATTCATTTGTCCAATGCCGGCCTTTTCCACACCTCCTGCAGAGACCAGGAGGTTGAGGCCTTCTGTTTGACACATTCCTGGTAGAAGAATTATTCCTAGGAATGTGTTGTCTACAGTTCCTACTCAGATGTCCCATTTTACCACAATTAAAACATCTAAAGTTTTGATGTCTTTTAAAATTTCTAGAGATTGCTTGCCCAACCCAATTTGGTATCTCCTCTTGGGTAGGCCATATTTCATCCTGATTCCTCCTAAATCCTTTAGAAATGGCTTCTCCTATCCAAGTTCCTGCCTCTGGATTGTCATACTCAACATTAGTTGTATATAAGACCCATTCCTCCAATGGTGCTGATCTTACCTTTAATGGCCACAGTATCTGTTTGTAATGTGGGTTTGCATTCTCATAAGCCAACGATTCTGTAAGAAGTCGCCTAATATTAGGATCAGTTATTTGTAAATCTACTGCTCTGGATAATCTTTGTAAGAATTCAGAGAATCTTTCTCTCGGACCCTGTATCACTTTCGAGTATGCTTCAACTCTTTCCCCTGGTTCACGAACCTTATCCAAAGCATTTAGTGCTGCTGTTTTGCATAAATCAAATGTACGCTCATCATAACCAGCTTGGACCTGCGGGTCAGAAAATTGCTTCTCTCCCATAATCTTACTTTCAGAAGCATCAAAGCCATCCTTCAAACCTTGAAGTTCAAGGGCCTTGGCTTCCTGTCTCCACAAAGCTTTCCACTGTATTTGTGTAGACTGGTCCAACACTGCAGATATTAAATCATTCCAATCTGAGGGAGTTATCTTATTAGTAGTTGCCCATGTGTTTAGTAACTGTTTTACATAAGTACTGTGGACCCCAAAAGTCATGATCACATTTTTAATTGTTTTCATATCTTTTATGGGAATAGGTTCCCATTTCTGTGTAGTGGAACCAGATTGGTGCCTCCGTGATGATGACCTTTCTACTACAGTTACTGGAAAGGCCACCTTAGGATGTCTAGTAGCCGTATTTCGTTTATTTCCTAGTGGCCTAGCATCCATTGACTCCACTTCTGATATTTCAGAGGATGTATCTTCTAAAGATTGAAATTTTGCAACCATGTCATCCTTTAAGTCTCGTATTTCCTGCATTAAAAATTGTTCCAATTCCTTGGACTGTTCATTGAGGTCTTCTATTTCCTCCATTAAAAATTGTCCCAAGTCCTCAGATTGTTCATTAAGGTCTTGGATTTTCTGCATTAAAGATTGTTTTAACTCTTTGGATTGTTCAGTTAAACGAAATTCCAAGCTTTTCATACCATCCTCCCTAAAAACTCCAAAGGCATCTATTTTTCCTTCCAGAAAACACATTCGATCTGCTAGATTGCCATTATTATCAGACATAGATTGAATCGACCCTGCTAATTTTGAAAATTCCTCCTGGTTATATTCCATTTTAGCCATAAATGTAGTGGACATCAAATTGAATGTGTCTCGAAGGTTGTCCTGGTCAAATTTAACCAAGTCCCCTTGTTCCTGAATTTTTAACTCTAATTTTTTAATTGACTCTGCTAAATTGGAAAGTTCCACCTGGTTAGAGTCAGTCTTAGCGGACATTGAATTAAATGTAGCCAAATCCACTTGTTCCTGAATTTTTGACTCTAATTTTTGAAACATAAGCTCATGTTTCTTCCAAGTGATTATATGTATTAATACACTAATCACAAGCATGGCACACATATACGTAAGAAAAATATCATAATTGTCTTTTACCACATAATCCATCACATTGGTAATGAAATCTCCAAAATCCTGCAGTGTTAAATTACCTGCCGTTATAATTAGATGTTCTTACCATCAATCGGTGATTCCTAAATTGGAAAAATTCACCTCCTTTATTATCTCAAATTAAAATACCTGTAGTTACTGTGCTTGGCCAGCAGATGGCGGAGGTGTACTGCTAAACGCTACCTCTCCGCGGAAAATCGGATGCTCCCAAGGAACCTGTGAAAGCTTAATGGGCAGATTTGGGAAGGCAGATTCACCGCACAGCAGTGGAGCTTGCAAAGGCTCTGGTAGCTGCTGAGGCAGTGTAATGTAGAATTAATCAGGCACGAAAGTCCCCGGTTCTGCTTGGCGGGCGGCAGCGGGGGGAGGGAGCGGGCAACCGATGGCCGGGATGCTGGCGGCTGGAACGCGCGGGCGGTCAGCAACTGGGAGTTGCAGCAGTGGGCTGTGAGCAGCACGTGTGGCGTTGCCAGGTGGGCGGCAAAGGGGTCTGAGTCCCCGGTTCTGCGTGCTTGGCGGGCGGCAGGAGCGCAGAACGATCACGGGGGGGGAGACAGCTCCGGGCCCAGAGCAGTGGCCGGGGGCGCTCAGGGGCCCCAAGGAACAATGGCGCTGAGCCCGCAGGGTACTCTGCTGCTGCCCGTGGCTGGGGACACCCAATGGTCACGCGCAGCGGCTGACTGTCTCCGCGCAGGGTACACGCAGTGGTAGACTGCTGCGGTGTCCGCGAACGGGCGAACAGCACGCGGCAGCTGTGGACAGCAAGCGTGGGGGCGCTGGGCAGCGGCCAGCGGGGCAGCAGGGCTTGTGGGGAAGGGAAAACAGCTCCGTGTGGAGAGGCCAATTGCTCTATTCGCGGTCCAGCTGCAGGTACGCGCAGCGGCCGACTGCGGCGGGCGGCGGGGCGAGGGCGATGTAACCACCGCGGCTGGAGCGAATTATCACTCACCTCGGGATGCCGAATTCAGGCGGTTTCCCAGGCGTGGGCTGTAATTCCAAACCACTTCTGCCACCAGGTATAACGATAATCGAGGCTATATAGGGAAAAACAATATATTTATTTATCAGGGAGAGAGAGAGTCGCACATACCAGGAGTTAGAAGCGTGGCTGGCTTCCAGGAGAAAAAGAGGGAGGCCCCTTTTTCTTTCACTACCTTTTATCTCTACCTTGACCCCACCCTGTTGGGCAGGTAGCTTTGTGGGGTTCACTCCTACATCTTTTGATTGATTTTATTTTAAAGTCTAATTTGTTAGATATTAGGATTGCTACCCCTGCTTGTTTTTTGGGTCAATTTGATTGGAAAATCTTTTCCCCAACCTTTAACTCTGAGGTAATGTCTGTCTTTGAGAATGAGGTGTGTTTCTTGTATGCAGCAGAAGGATGGGTTCTGTCTTCGAATCCATTCTGCTAGCTTGTGTTGTTTTGTGAGTGAATTAAGACCATTAATGTTGAGGGATATTAATGACCACTGATTGCTCATTCTTCTTTGATTTGGAATGGTTGTTGGTGGTGGAATTATGTGCGGAATTTCACCCCTTTGTTCTTTTGGCTGTTGGTAGAGAGTGATTCTCTAATGCCTATGTTTTTCTGGTTGTAGTTAACTTCCTTGGGTTGGAGTTTTCCTTCCAAAACTTTCTGTAGGGCTGGGTTAGTGGATACGTATTGCTTGAATCTAGTTTTGTCATGGAATATCTTGTTTTCTCCATCTATAGTGATTGTGAGCTTTGCTGGGTATAGTAGTCTGGGCTGGCATCCATGGTCTCTTAGTGTTGGTAGAATATCTATCCAGGACCTTCTGGCTTTCAGAGTTTCCATAGAGAAGTCAGGTGTAATTCTGATAGGTTTGCCTTTATATGTTACTTGGCATTTTTCCTTAGCTGCTCTTAATATTCTTTCTTTATTCTGTATATTTAGGGTCTTCATTATTATGTGGCAAGGGGACTTTTTTGTGATCCACTCTATCTGGTGTTTTTTAAGCTTCTTGTACCTTCATTGGCATGTCTTTCTTAAGGTTAGGAAAGTTTCCTTCTATGATTTTGTTGAATATGTTTTCTTCCCCCTTGAGATGATTTTCTTCTCCTTCTTCTATACCTATTATTCTTAGGTTTGGTCTTTTCATGGTGTCCCATATTTCCTGGATGTTTTGTGTTAAGGATCTGTTGGACTTAAGATTTTCTTTGGTTGATGAATCCATTTCTCCTAGTGTATCTTCAACACCTGAGATTCTCTCTTCCATCACTTGTATTCTGTGGGTAATGCTTGTATCGGTAGTACCTGACCATTTGCCCAGCTTTTCTTTTTCTAGCCTTTCTTCAGATTGTGGTTTTTTTTTATTGTCTCTATTTCAGTTTTTAACCCTTGCATTGTTTGCATTGCTTCTTGCAATTTTCGGTTTATCTTTTCGTCCATTTGTTGCATTTTATGAATTTTTTGGTTTGTTCTTTCTTCCATTTCTTGCATTTTAATTTTGCTTTTTCTTCCATTTCTTGCATTTTTTGGTTTGCTTTTTCTTCCAGTTCTTGTATTTTTTTGGTTTGTTTTCTCTTCCATTTACTGCCTTTTTTGCTTTGTTTTTTCTTCCATTTCTTGCATTTTTTGCTTTCTTCCTCCATTTCTTGCATTTTTTGCTTTGTTTTTTCTTCCATTTCTTGCATTTTTTGCTTTGTTTCTTCTTCCATTTCCTGCCTTTTTTGGTTTGTTTTTTCTTCCATGTCTTGCATGTTTTGGTTTGTTTTCTCTTTGAGGGATTTTCCTATATCCTCTTTTAGGGCCTCTATCAGTTTCATGAAGGTGGTTTTAAGGTCATTCTCTTCTGCTTCATTTGCATTGGAATGTTGGAGCCTTGCTGGTGTGGAGTCTCTAGAATCTGGCAGTGTCATATTTGTTTTTCTGTTGCTGAGTGTGTTTTTGTATTGTCTCTTTCCCATCTCTTCTTCTGGTAGGTGCAGAAAGATCCCCTTACCGGTCTGGTGGTTAGGGGACCAGAGTTCCCTTCTGGTGGGTGCTAGCAAGTCCAATAATCTGGTAGTTCTTCTATTCCTCGTCCTTGTTCTGGTCCCATGAGTGGAGAAGAAGACCAGGAATCTGGGGTGCTTAGCCTGCCACCTGGTCCCCTTGTCCCTTTGCTGTATCTGCTGGTTTCCTGGTCTCGTTAGTGGGAGAGAAGACCTGGTATCTGGGGTGCTTGGCTCCCCGCCGGGATTGGAAGCTCTGTGCAGTTCCCAGGCAATCCCCAGCCACTTGAACACAGGCCTGGATTCAGGGCTTGTTGTACCTGGTCCCACTGGAATAACTGGTCCCCTGGTCTCCCTGTGTCGGCTGGTTTCCTGGTCTCATTGGTGGGAGAGAAGACCTGGAGTCTGGGGTGTTTGGTTCCTGCTGGATTGGAAGCTCTGTGCAGTTCCTAGGCAATCTCCAGGCACTGGAACACAGGCCCAGATGCAGGGCCTGTTGTACCTGGTCCCACCAGAACAGCTGGTACTATTTTCCCTTCTATACACTATTCATTAGGAAAGTAATACTGTCCAGATAAAATTTGATGGTATAGGACTTATTCTCTATGTCATAAAAGCAGAAGTCTGAAAGAATTTATGGAAATATTTTAATGTCACACCAGTAATTAAGAAAAAGACTTGAAAGAATGAAGATGCCACAATGTTTACTCAAACAAGGCTACATTCCCCAATGGTGCCAGTTGCTATGAACCCATTGGGGGCATTGTCACCCAAAGCACTACATGGGTTGTTAGATGGTGACTCACTTTTATTTCTCATGATATTTGGCCCATAGGGCAGTGGAGATAACTGGTAGAAGTATTTCATAACAGTGGTCATTGCCTTGGGTTAAGTGTCAACAAGCAATACAGGACAGGCTCAATTCATGTGCAGCCTTATCTGTTCTATGGTGTCTAATTGTTTTAAGAAGTTAAATTAACATTGATACATGCTGTTAACTATAAACTTTATTTTGGAATTCAGCACCTTTTTGTATATTGCATTTTTTCTATTTTATTCTTTTATTTAAATTAGAAACAAGCTTGTTTTACATGTCAATCCAAGTTTCCTCTGCCTTGCCTCCTCTCTTGTCCCCCACTAACCCTATCCCATTCCCTTTCTGCTACCCAGGGAGGGTGAGACCTTCCATGGAGCAATCTTCAAAGTCTGTCATATCATTAGGAGCAGGGCCTATGCCCTGCCCTGTGTGCAAAGAGCCCACAAGGAACTAATGACTCACCCCTAAGTTACAGCTATTTAATACAGAATTGCACTACTGAGAAAAATAAAAGTCATACATTAATAAGTAGAAATTTTTTTAGAAACAATAAAATACCACACAAGAAAGTAGTGAAAAAACAGTTCAAATAATCAGCTCCCTCTATATACTATAAAGTATTCTTGAAGAAAGTGAATTTCTATTGCCTCATTTTTAAGATTTAAAAACCTAAGCAGTGAATCCATTTTCATGAGGCTCTAATGTGTGGAGGCACACTTATAGAGCAAAATTTTCTAAGAAAACAGAAAATCAGAACTGTCAAGTTAAATTGTTTTAAGATAATTTCTTATAAGATTTACTTTTTATGCAGTGCCACAAACAACATAAAATACCTTGGGGTAAAGCTAACCAAACAAATGAAAGACCTGTATCACAAGAACATTGACTCTTTAAAGAAAGAATGTAAAGAAGGCCTCAGAAAATGGAAAGATCTCCCATGCTGTTTGATAGATAGGATCAATATAGTAAAAATGGCAACCCTGCCAAAAGCAATCTACAGATTCAATGCAATCCTGATTAAAATACCAGCACAATTCTTCACAGACCTTGGAAGAACAATAATTAGTTTTATATGGAAACACAAAAGACCCAGGATAGGCTACACAACCTCACTCAACAAAGCAACATATAGAGGGATCACCATCCCCAACCTCAAGCTCTATTATAGAGCTGTAGTCCTGAAAACAGTTTGATATTGGCACAAAAATAGAAAGGTAGACCAATGGAATAGAATTGAAAACCCTGATATTAACCCATACATGTAAGAACATCTGATCTTGGACAAAGAAACTAAAAATATACAATGGAAAAAAGAAAGCATTTTCAACAAAAGGTGCTGGCATAACTGGATGCTGGCATGTAGAAAAATGTGGATCGATCCACGTATATCATCATGCACAAAACTTAAGTCCAGATGGATCAAAGACCTCAACATAAATCCAGCCACACTGAAACTCTTAGAAGAGAAAGTAGGTGGTACCCTTGAATGAATTGGTACAGGAGACAGCTTCCTGAACATAACTCCAGTAGCACAGACAGTGAGATCCAAAATTAATAGATGGGACATCCTGAAACTGAGAAGCTTCTTTAAGGCAAAGGACACAGTCAGCAAGACAAAAAGGCAGCCCACAGAATGAGAAAAGATATTCACTAACACCATATCTGACAGAGGGCTGATCTCCAGAATTTACAAAGAACTCA